AGAAGCCAGTAACATTGGTCAGTAGGAGGATTGTAACCATGACGTTAGCAATCTTATACCCACACTCTAACCATCTGAGCTAATCAGCCAGCACACATTTATTGTGCTGAAGAAATTAGAAATTTACAAATGGATAGATGAATGGGCCAAAATGGGCTTCATCAAGGTGACTTCAGTGTTACATCACCATAACTGATGAACTTCTATCAATGACGGACTGGTATTAAGATTGTCATTGTGTAGTGCAACATTCCACTCAGTTAAATTAACACAACTAATTGCATTCTTGAATTGCTGTGTTAGATCAGAACCAGAAAATCAATTTCCAGTTCTTGACTCTGAGTAATGTAGCCTGAGTTTTCCAGGGTAATTCAAAGTGTCAGGAAAGAAATTGATTGCAGTCCAATAAGAAGTGTCATAGAAAGTGTGTGCTCCTTTACTGTGGATAATCAGTATGTTTTGTATGTGAGGAGCTGTGTCCTTTCCTATCCTTACAGTGTATTTTCCAATTAAGCAATTCAACAGCAATAAAATCAGAAATTGCTGGAAAATCTCAGCAGGTTTGGCAGCATCTATGGAGAAAAAGGAGAGATTAACATTTTAGGTCTTTCTGAAGAAGGGTCATTGGACCTGAAATATTAATTCTCCTTTTCTCCATAGATACTGCCAGACCTGCTGAGCTTTCATAGCAATTTCTGATCTTATTTCTGATTTCCAGCATCTGCAGTCATAGAGCTTTACAGCATGGAAACAGATCCTTTGGTCCAACTTGTCCATGCTGACCAGATGTCCTAAATAAATCTAGTCCCATTTGCCAGCATTTGGCTCATATCTCTCTAAATTTTTCCTATTCATGTACCCATCCAGATGCCTTTTAAATGTTGTAATTGTACCAGCCTCCACCACTTCCTCTGGCAGCTCATTCCATACACGTACCATCCTCTGGGGGGAAAAGGTGCCCCTTAGGTCTCTTTTAAATCTTTCCCCTCTCACCTTAAACATATGCCTTCTATTTTTGGACTCCCCCACCCCAGGGAAAAGACCTTGGCTATTCTCCCTATCCAGTCCCCTCATGATTTTATAAACATCTATATCACTCCTCAGCCTCTGATGCTCCAGGGAACATAGTCCCAGTGTATTCAGCCTCTCCCTATAGCTCAAACCCTCCAACCCTGGCAACATCCTTGTAAGTCTTTTCCGAACCCTTTCAAGTTTCACAACATTCTTCCTATAGCAGGGAGCCCAAAAATGAAAGCAGTATTCCAAAAATGGCCTAACCAATGTCCTGTACAGCTGCAACATGACCTCCCAACTCCCATGGTCAATGCACTGACCAATAAAGGCAAACGTACCAAACACCTCCTTCACTATTTTGCTTACCTGGGACTCAACTTTAAAGAAACAATGAACCTACACTTTAAAGTCTCTTTGTTCAGCAATATCCCCAGGACCTTACCATTAAGTGTATAAGCCCTGCCCTGACTTGCCTTTCCAAAATGCAGCATCACACATTTATCTAAATTAAACTCCATCTACCACTCCTCAGCCCATCTGATCAAGGTCCTGTTGTACTCTGAGGTAACCTCTTTCGCTGTCCGATACACCACCAATTTTGATGTCACCTGCAAACTTACTAACCAGACCTCCTATGTTCACATTAAATCATTTATGTAAATGTCAAAAAGCCGTAGACTCAGCACCGATCCTTACGACACACTGCTGATCACAGGCCTCCAGTGTGAAAAGCAACCCTCCACCACCACCCTCTGTCTCCTCCCTTCGAGCCAGTTATGTATCCAAATAGCTAGATCTCCCTGTATTCCATGTGATCTAACCTTGCTAACCAGTTCTTTGGTTTATTTTGTTTAAGATTTCAATGGCAAGCTTTTGTGACTTCAAAACGCAAGAAAATTATTTATTCATTTACCCTGAATTAATGCAGCATCATGCATTCAGTCTCATGTGCACACACACATACACAATGTTTGGATATGGTTAACAATCATTCATTTTATAGGCTGTAGTTACTTCAGATTCTGATTTGAGTTCCAGTCTCCTATGTTGTAGCCTATGGTTTCTTGAATAGATTTAATAATTTAAAATTGAAGTGAGGATCTTTTAAGACAAAGCGTTCACAAGATTGTGAGGTTACTTGCTTGTTGAGTTTCTAAGTCCAGGATATTTTTGTTTCCCTGTTAACAGTTTATAGTTTGAATCCACAAAATAACTCAAGTGACGTAGGGCAGTCACCATTTCCAGCCATTTTTTTGCCAAATTTTACAATATAAATTTAGTTTGAAGTTTGGAATAGGACATATCATTACTGGTCATGACATGTAATTGAAAACATGTTAATTTTCATTACAGTCCTAATCATCTCATGGAGGGGAGGAGGAGGATTTCTTTGTGAGTTGGTTGTTTCCTTGTGCACTGATTAAGTTCTGCCCATCAATTCTTAGTCACCAAATGTAAGGGCTTGATAGTAATATGAATGTGTAACTGCACCAGCAAACTAGGGGTTGTGCATTGAAATAACAGATGAAATTGAATTCAATGAATCTGGTTATTTAAGGGTAAACACCAGGGAAAATGATCATCGTCATCCTAGTAAGCCGTAGGAATTTAAAGTAATTGATTCAGAACAGAAATTTTGGGCAATCATCAAATCAGCCTACTTAGACTTTTAAAGCCCTCCTTCCTAATATCTGGGCACTAATTCTCTCCAACTTAGGAGACTAGCCTGACGTGGTTATATCTATCCACATCCCACTAGCCACAGATTAAGTTATATAGTCATTCAGTGTAGAAGAGGTCCTTCGACCCGTTAAGACTATGTCTGCCTATCTGCACTAATCCCATTTCCAACATTTGACCCATAGTCTTGAATGTTACTTTATAAAAGTTGTGAGGTATTCTATCTCTGCTACCCCGTCTGTCAGTGCATTCCAGATTCCTGATGCTGACTATCAGTCCAAACTCCTTGCATGCAGGGAAAGAAAGTAGTTACATGCAGTTTCAAATGAACTTTACTTTGGGATGTCACTTCAGTGAAGAATACAGGTGGGTATGCCAGGAGCAACCTGGCATACCTAAAAGTGAAGTGTGAGCCTACAAAACAAGACTATCTGCATGCCAAACAGCATAAGCAGCAAGTGATAGACAGAGGTAAGCAATTCTACAACCAATGGATCAGGTCTTCTGAGGGACATTACTGTCAGACTGGGCTAGATTCAAGAGGTAAGTGTGCCAACATGATGAGATAAACTCCTCGACCTCACTCTTATCAATCTTTCTGTTACAGATGACACCTCATAGTCCACGTAAAGATAAAATCTGTCCCTCACAATTAAAATCCCACTGTTGTGTGGTGTTGCCAAATCATCCTAAGCTGACCAAAAATGGATATTCATAAGGCACAATTGTCATCAGCCATTAAGTTATATATAACCACAGAGTAATCTCGAGGCCAAACATCACCTTCATCATTATCAATCCAGCAGACTAACTCGAGTTCAATGTGCAGCTACATGCCTGAAGCAGTGCCAGATGTAGCTTAGAATGTAACATAATAGGCTATGTACGTGTCAAACACCAAAAGGAACAGCATGTAAAGGATATAACAGGATAAACAAGGATATATTGGATGCATAAAATTATACAGGATTTATAAATAAGGATATATACAATATATGACAGGGTATATAAATGCTAAACATTCTAACCCCCAATGGAATGGAATATAATTCTGGAGCCCAATGCAGTTAATTGATAGCAGCAGCGGACAATCTGGAAGCTAACACATGGAGGAAATTCCATGTGACAAAATCACATTTAGGTCTTTTTCCTTAATCTTTGCTGTTTTCTCCTTCTTCAACCTTTCCACTCCTTACAGCCCTCTCACCTCTCCTTTAAAATCCTCATTATGTAACACCCTTACAACTCAGAATGAATTATCATATTAACCTCCCCTCCTTTCATTTCTCAGTCTTTGCATTGATCAGTCTTTATCCTTGCTTTTGTTTTCAATTTTCACATCCATTCGTCTATCTACACAAAAAATCTCTTTAACCTCAGTTGCCTCCGTGCAAGGAATATGTGTTTTATAATTAGCAGATGATTGTAATGTGTTGCCCACACTACACCAAGTTTGGAAGTCATTCGCTTCCATTCTGCAGTAAACCTGGCCTGAATGTTTCTAAAACAAAACTCGTGTACCAATTGTCACATCTCACTAAGACAGTGTGCTGGAAATCAAGCCCCACTATTCCCACATTTCCTCTCCAGAAGTCTGATATTTTATGCCAAAATATTCACACACCCAAGCTGTCTAGCTAGTCAGGAGCCAATCACATAGTTGGTGACAGGCAGAGGCCTTTGTCAATGATGACTAGCCATTAGGCAAAAGACCAATCAGCTACCTGTTGCCAGCCAAAGCCTCCATTCTTATATGCCTCATGCTGTAGCTTATCCTCAAACTAGGTTGCCAGTCCTGTTTGAACTAGCAGCTGTATACACAAAACTGTAAAGAGTGTCAGGTTATTTGCTTTTTTAAAAAGTGCAGCAACCCTTCAACAATCCTTTTTTTTTAAAATAGTGGTTTTTTTTCCCCATTTCAGTCCACAGTCGCAAATACAGAAACTTTTTTTTATAGTCTTTACAATGGTCATCCCATCTCCCATTTGCACTTCATAACAGACAGCAGAATCAGGGTGAGGTGGAAGTTGATAGTGGATGGATGTAGTAACATACTATCATTTTGAATGTACTTGGCAAACACAGATGCTGAAGGCATTGCTTGCAGCTGGCCGCATAATGCATTATAACTTTTCATCCATTGAGTTTAGTGGATGTACGCATGCCTGATCCTTACTGGGTCTCTGCCTAACGCTCCTGTTGTGGATGACCTTATCTTGTAACGAATGCTGTTGATTGCCCAAGTGATCCACATGCAACACAGTACGGAAACAATGGGGCTGGGTGGGAGGTCTAGCATCATTGGTAGGTATGTGGGAGTAAGTGGAGTGTATCCACCCGACCTGAATTCTGAGTGCTGGGGACCTCTGATGGATGAATGATGAGGATATGGTGCATTGTGCTGTGTGGAGTGATTGATAGGAGCTGTTAAGTGCAAATTGATTCTCTGATCACTTACAGAGAAAATGAACCTCTTATAACAATGCAGCCAGGCCCTCAAGGCCAGACTCCCGTAGAGATCTCCCTACTCAGTTGCTCCTGTCCATTCCTTTTGAAGGATGATCCTTCAGGGCCTCTGTCCCCCACAGGAGTTTGAGCTAGTTCTTCATTTTGACACATTATCATCACTAAGACATCCTGCAACAAATGGATGAACCTGACAATTCTCTCTTCTCTGGAGTTCCATTTATATAACTCCTACTTGCAGCCAGTACACACACAGCAGAACTTTTCAAATGGATCTTCAAGAGGGGCAGACTGGTTTGAAGAGGAACAAGCTTACTTCACCATGTGCTACCAAAGCACATTGCTGAACCCTAGATTAGTGCTTAGAAAGGCAGTAGCATGGGCCCAGATTGCTCCAAGGCTACAATAATCTTAATGAGGAGGTAGCATGAAGTCTACATACCGCTTGTCTTAGTAGTAATGGGACTAGGCAAATCACAATCGATCATAGATCTGAATAAAGTTTTTTTTTAATCTTTACTCTCTTCTGTCAGAACTTATTCACCTAAAATGTTATCCACCATTGTTCACTCTTGAACATTCTTGGAACTGCCATAGACCAATAGGTCAGACTGACCTGTTTTCACTCTAAGTGATGTATTTTGCAAATGATTTAGCCCAACATCAGGATTACATCAAGTCACTTGTTATTTATTTTTTCAGCTGCCGTCACATCCTCCCCTGATTCCTTCTTGCCAACTAGCCAATTGCCTGCCACCACCATCCTGTCGCTTGTCTGCCTTACGCTGATATTTTTTTCCTGTTATGCATCGAGCCTTCTTGAAATAATTTTATTCACGGCTCCTAAGCACTTGACTCTGTTTCCATTTAACTGCTGAACATCAGCAACTCTTCTGGTCCTTATGTATGCTGACATTGCAAATGGTTCTGCTTGAATACTATCTCACTTCCTTTCAAACCCATCATCATCATCAATGCTGTCCTCAAAACTAAACATATTTAATCCTCCTATGCCTGACAGTGAACTACCTTATTTCTGATATGATTTTTATGTTCTTAGGTCTTCCAGGACGTGAAGCCTGTTATCAATCATTCCCAAATATTTTGCTGAGTATTCGTTTCATTATTACAACAGGAGAAATAATTTGTGGCTCTATGAAATCAAATGAAGAATATTGTCAAAGGAATGGTGATTTGGTTGAAGACAAAAACAAAAATGTCTGTAGCCAGGTAGGAATATTGACTGTTAGGTTTAGTTCAATTTCAAATTGTGTCATCCTCTAACTTGTAATTTATCAAAGTAAAAGTAGCTATTTAAATAAGTAACAACTGTGACAATTCTCAGAAACTTATAGAACTTTTTTTTTGCATTATTGATCCTTTAGTAAATTATGCCAGACAGACCGATTCTTGGAAACTATAATATTTTCAGTAGATCATGAAACTGAAGATAACATTTAAAATATGACAGCATAGCACTGTAATCTTGACAGCCTGGATTTGCTTAATAAAAATATATTTATTAGTTAAAGTATTTGTTCTTGTGTCAAAACGGTACTTTTTTGTCTGTTGTGCATGTGCAGTCAGGGCTATGACATCGGCTGACAAGATGGCTTGCTGAAGTATCTCCACTGCTCCTCTATTCACTGCATTCCATATGTACCAATGTCAGTAGCAGTGCATGCAAAAGCAACCCTCATGGAAAATCATGGCTCGTTCCAAAGACGTTGCTTCCCCTCCCAGCATTCCATCTTCAGTGTGTCACTGCATCGCTGAGCTCAACCCTCCATTATCCCTCTTTAACCAAAGGCCTGTTGTTACTGAAGCTGGGAGCCACATCCCTGGAAAAGGAGATGCGTGCAGCAACAGGACTGGGATGGACAGCATGTCAGTTGGAGACGGCCAGGCAGCGAGAACTTGATTTTTGAAGGATAATATGCCGGGCATACATGCACTTTTCTGCTTCTCTTTGTCAGCCCCAGGGTCCCTGAGACCTGGACCACGTCCTGCAGAGCCAATTTGGAGATTACCTTTCTCCTTTGTCACTGCTGCATGAAGTAGTGAGCCTTTTTACATGTTCTGTGAAGACTCTATCTATATATTTTTTTCTTCAGTTTCCTTTATTTTGTAAGCGGAGTAGTCAGACCTCTCTTTAAGAGTGAAGATAATCTTAAACAATTGTTTAATTGAGGCTCAGAAAGCAGATCAGGAATTAAATACATTAGCCAGACAGCTCTTGCTGAAGCTGCACCTGATGGAATTTCAGTGTGGTATTATTTTAAAAACAGAGCTCTGATGAGGAAGTGCAGATATCCTCACAGATCTGCAGGTGAAGAATGGGCAGTTGTTCAGCAAAAAGTGATACTGCCTGGCTGTTGTAAGGAGAGTAGTACATAAAAAAATCATATGGCACGTAGGAATATGGAAAATGCAAGCATCAATAAACAGAAATTTTGCATGGCCAAGACTTTATAAGAATATAGTGCAATTCCAGAAACTATTACTTCAAGAATCATTACAGCTAAGGTAGTAGTGCAGAATGTAAACTTCATCTTTTCACTCTGTATAACTTACCAATTGAGATACAATCTAATCACGGTTCTAACTGTATATCTAAAGTTTCCAGGACATCATCAGTAGTATGGTCACGAAGTCAACTGAATATCATTGACAAACACAGGAAGCTCTGGAGAGATATCATCAGACTCTCAAAACCATGATTAGAGCATATTGACATGAATATCCACAGGACCAGATAATGAATTAGATTTCTTTCTGTTTGCAACCAGAGATTCCCCAATGAATCTACTGGGTTTATTTGATTTGTATTGAACTATGTATGTGAGACTAAAGGTCCATAATGATTGATTAATGAAAAGTTTGTAAGACAAAAAAAGCAAATCCACAATGTTGGATTTCATGTGCAGGATTCTAGAGAGACTCATAGAAGCATTTAAAGATTTAATGAGAGAAAATGAAAGAATGGGCAGAAAGACATGCTACAACTAGCCCAACACAGGCCCAACTATCTTCAGCTGCTTCATCAACTACCTTCCATCCATCATAAGGTCAGAGATGGAGATGTTCACTGATGATTTCACAATGTTTAACTCCTCAGATACTGAAGCAGAGCATGTCCAATTGCAACAAAACCTGGTCATTATCCAGGCTTGGGCTGAAAAGTGATCAGTAACATTCGTGCCACACAAATACCAGGCAATGACCATCCTCAATAAAAGCCAATCTAACCACCGCTCTTGACATTCAATGATGTTACCATCACTGAATCCTCCACTATCAACATCTTGGGGATTACTATTGACCATAAACTCAACTGAACTCACCATGTAAATACAATGACTACAAGAGCGAGTCAGAGGCTAGGAATACTGTGGCAAGTAATTCACCTCCTGACTTCGCAATGGATAAAGTTATTTTAATCCAGAGCCCTTTAAATTTTTTTAAAGTGTGGACTATGTCAAAAAGAGTTAGAAACACTCTGTTCTAGCAATTCCAATATTGTTTGTATCATCAACTCATAATGAAAGGAGTTATCATTATGCCTTTACGGCTGCTTTCCATGAGCCATAATTATCTCATCATGGGAACTTCTACACTCACAGTTTGATTGACAGCTCAGGTTATTAAAGGAATAATAATGTGGTGTTGTGAATATAAGATTACTTTTATAAGGGATTAAGCATTTGTGCTTCAAACATTTGAATGGACTTTCATAATTGGGAGTTTTTTTTATTATAGTGAAGGCTATAGTAGATATAGATGCCTTCATTTTATTTCATCTCAACGTGGCTCATGAGGTCTTTGCATGGTAGATATCGAATGACTTGTCTTGGAGGGTGTAAGGATCAAGGGTTGTGAGGGTGTTGACATGAGTTAGCCTTATTTTGGCTGGGGGCTTAAAGAGGCCATAGTAGTTGGTTGGGGGCCCTGGGCTGGCGTTAAGTTGACATTGGAGCATGGAGGTGGCATGGGGCCATGTTGATGTGAATTGAGGTGTGAGAGAGATTTGGCCTGAAATTTAATAAAACAACTGAGACATAGTCTCAAGAAATAAAGATAATCCATTTACATAGCTCCTCTCATTATTTGGCAATCCCTGCGCCTATCTCTGATCTATTTCTGGGGGTGATGGACTGACTCAATTCTTAGTCCGCTCCCTCTCCCTGAAAGTGTAAATTGTGTCCAATGGGATATTTTCTACTGTGGCAGGTTTGCTGAGTCAGGAAATTCTCTGATTGGAGCTAGCCATCTTGGTAGAGACAATCTGGCCCATGGTCTCTAAGTTTCATGGCTATCCACGGCTTAGACATTTTCATCCTTTTAAACAAAACTGCTGTATACGCAATAAATTGCTTTGTCTTTCAGGAGAATAAATGATACTTTACCTTAATTGAATTACAAGATCTAACAACGTGAAAAGCTTATAGATGGTTCTGATAGCTAGTTTGATGGCGTGGCTCAATAGTGTGTCTGTTTTATCAGAGGACTCTGAAATGTAGATTATTTATTATTTGGCTTGAATACAGAAATGGTATCTCTGCAGGTTTGGAAGCTTATTTTCCCTGGAGCATGGAATTCTGAGAAGCATGGCACAGAGTAAATAACATCCAAATAATGTATGAGCACGGAAATTACTTTGAACAATTTTATTAAGAATTCTTGACTGATGTGTTTCCTTCAAGTTCCTTTTGACACTATTTTAATCTATTTATTCCATCTGCTAAGCATCATGGTTCACAGTGACTTGCTGGTTACGATGTCCAGTTTAATTTGGAAGATGGTTATCTACAAGTAGATAAAATTTCCAGTTTTTACTTTATTATAATAAAAAGAGAAACACGGCAGGTTGGTAGCATATGTGGAGAGAGAGAGACTGTTACAATGTCAAGTCCAATATGACTCTTTTGCAGTTGAAAGATGCTACCAGATCTGTTGTACTTTCTGTTTTTATTTCAAATTTCCAACATCTGCAGTATTTTGCATTTATTATATTGTGATTTCTATTTCTTTATCAAAATGTCTTTTATCATCTTCAGTTAAGAACAGCTTGTCAGTGTCCTCGGCAAGTGGCTGACCCCCAGCAGAAAATATGTAACATCAGCCCAGTGCTAAGGCAATGCCTCCTGGTTTGGATTTATGTGAAACATAAAATTCAACTCTTGGATGATATTCTGAAACATCTTCTCCTAAGGGAGCAACTGTGCAATACAGATTGGTAGGTTTCATCACTTTCAAAAGATTGCATTTGCTTCCAGGTTTAATAAATTGGCAATAAATGACAAATATTACTCAGGAGAGTAAAATATTGCTGCCAATGAGTGTTAAATCACCTTATTTGACAGAATGAGGGCACCATTTTATGGCGTGCCTAAAGGCAAATATGTATTTGCATCCAATTTTATGTTATGTTGCTTTCATGTGAGCTAATCTTTTTAACCTACAGTGTCCACTGTTCATTTGTTATCATACTTTTCATTCATATTGTGCTTCACAATTTGATCAATAGAGCTATTGATTATATTTTAATCTTTTGGACCCTAAAGAAATGGGAGCAGCATCAGTAAAGTATCATGGAAGATCATTCATATCCTATACCTTGGGATACTTGGACACGAGTACAAATATCTATTAGCTCAGATGTTCGGCATTTATACAGTGACATTGAAATCTATTCTGCATGACTGAACAAAATTGATAAAATGATATCCTATACATATAATTTAAGATGGAAGATTAGGTTCTGGCTTAAGAATGCATATTGAATTAATGTACAAGTAATGAGCAGGGTGGTGAAGAAGGCTTTTGGCACGCTTGCCTTCATTGGGCAGAGCATTGAGTATAGGAGTTGGGATGTCATGTTATAGCTGTACAAGACATTGGTGGGGCCACTTTTGGAGGACTGTGTATAGTTCTGGTCACTCTGCTGTAAGAAGGATATTATTAAATTGGAAAGTGTTCAAAAAAGATTTACAAGTATATTACTGAGGCTGGAGTTATAAGAAGAAGCCAGATAGGTTGGGACATTTTTTTCCCTGGAGTGTAGGAGGTTGAGGGGAGACCTTATAGAGGTTTATAAAATCATGATAGGTATAGATAAGGTGAATAGCCAAGGGTTTTTTTCCCCAGGGTAGAGAGTTCAAAACTACAGGGCAGAGGTTTAGGGTGCGAGGGAAAAGATTTGAAAGGGATGTGAGGGATAACTTTTTCACACAGAGGGTGGTGCATTAATGGAATGAGCTGCCAGAGGAAATAATAGAGGCAGGTACAGTTACAACATTTAAAAGGAATTTGGACAGGTACATGAATAGGAAAGATTAAGAGAGATGTGGGCCAAATGCAGGCAAATGGGACTTATTTAGTTTAGGAAACGTGCTCGGCATAGATGAGTTGTACCAAAGGGTCTGTTTCTATGCTGTATGACCCTATGACTCTATGAATCTATGTGAGTAAAATCTCACAGGAAGGAAACACAGGCCATTTAGAAAGCTACATGATTACACCAAAGATTCACAATGCAACCTCCTTTTGATTGTGACTTCCCACTGCAAGTGTTGAATCACTGGATATGACCCTGATCATTTTTCTTTCACAATAAAAAATGACTAAAGGCTGTGTTACAGTGATCTAGCTCATTGTGACATTCAACTGTAGGCAAATGCTTATGAGTTGTACCAAAGGGTCTGTTTCTATGCTGTATGACCCTATGACTCTATGAATCTATGTGAGTAAAATCTCACAGGAAGGAAACACAGGCCATTTAGAAAGCTACATGATTACACCAAAGATTCACAATGCAACCTCCTTTTGATTGTGACTTCCCACTGCAAGTGTTGAATCACTGGATATGACCCTAATCATTTTTCTTTCACAATAAAAAATGACTAAAGGCTGTGTTACAGTGATCTAGCTCATTGTGACATTCAACTGTAGGCAAATGCTTATTTTTATAGTACGCCTGCTGTGACCGTCTTCAAATTTTACGCACAGGGGGTGGTGTGTGTTTGGAACAAGCTGCCAGAGGAAGTAGTGGAAGTGAGTACAATTACAACATTTAAAAGGCATCTGGAAGGGCACATAAGTAGGAAAAGTTTAGACGGATATGAGCCAAATGCTGACAATGGAACTAGGTCAGCTTGGGATATCTGGCCCGTGTGGATGAGTTGGATCAAAAGGTCTGTGTCCCTGCTGTATGAATCTACGGCTCTATAATTATAGAAGCAAGAACATGGTGCACATGCTATCTGTGCACTTTCAAAGAATTCTTATCATTTACACCTTGTATGTATCTCACCAGGAGTGTCATGCCTATAAATATTTTGACTTTGTTCTGTTAGTTTTAGCTTCAAACTATTCAGTTTTCTTTTTAATATTGATGTGGAAGGGAAACTGGTTCTGTGAGTTTCCTTTATAATTTCAGTACATAAACATGGTTATAGAGAAATCAATGGTATTGTGGTAATAATTTTTAAAAACAACTTTCAGGAATAGTTTCTCAATCAGTTTGTTAGAGTGCATGCTGATATATTAAAAATAACTCAACCTTAAATGTTGTACCTTCCTCAAAACGCCAAGGAAAAGGACTACTAAATTAGATCGATGCTAAAGCCAATTGCAGCCTCTTGCAAAACTGATGCAATTTACTGTTGTTAAACCAATGCATCCTTATTTTCATTGTGTTAAAATGACGACTATCCATTTAAGTTACGAATTTTATTTCACCATTACAAAAGTCAGAATTCCTTTTAAAGTAGACTTTGGTGTTAGTCTATGTTCATCAGTTCTGTAGTGTACAAAATTCCTTGCTGGTCATTCAGGGATTGTTTGGTTCATTACAAATTAATTTTTATGAATTAAAGTGACAAAACTATTGATTCAAAATCCTGGAATTCCTTACCTAAAAGGGTTGAAGGAGATTTTTTAATACTCATTCATGGGACATGGCGTCACTGGCTGGCCAGCATTTATTGCCCATCCTTAGTTGCCCTTGAGAAAAAGTTGATCTTCATCATACAAAATGCCGTGGTCTAAGAAGAATATTCAGCACTGACTTCTCAGGAACTACGAATTGGGAATAAACTCTAGTTTTGTCAGTGATATTCATATCCCAAAAATAAATTATTTTTAAAAAGTAACAAGATTCATAATTCTTCATGACACAACCTTGTCCAACATAAATGCAGTAATGGATCTCCTAAGAAAAATTTACTTATCACAAAAATGCTGGGTAACCATATTGATGGAAGGTTAGGCTGTAGGGACAGTGTAAGTAATTTGCCAAGGATGTCTTGGCGGTGGAAAAGCTTGCCTATCCCTCAGGTCTATTGGAGATCAAGGGTGATGTAGGAGATTTAATCTGTAAGGAGGGTAGTAGGCCAAAGATGAATAGTGGCAAAGTGAATGAATGCTCTGCAAGATTGTTGCTTTGTAATTGGAAATCTTGGAATTTCTCTCAGGCGGTTTGATTGGATACCCTCTATAATAAATTAGTACAGTCATAGTCTGTGGTCAAAGGGGGCTTCAGATTTCCCCTTCAATGTATTTATCCAATTTCCTTTTGAAAATTGATTTTTTGAATTCTACCTGGTTCTTCTTTTAAGAAAATGTATTCCGGATTGATAACTTGCTATGTAAAAAAAGGAGTTTTTCCCTAATTTGCCTTCTTTCTTTTCTGTCAAATATGTTTCTGTTTGCTGCCTAACAACTCTTATGAAAACTCCCGTAATGAACAATAGAAAGATACATAAAACTGAAAAAACATTAAGCAGATTAGTCAGTATTTGTAAAGAGAAGAAACAAATGGGTGCACACACTTCGTGGAGCAGCTGTAAAAACAAATGCCCTGTAATTTCTGATGGTCAGTTTTTTTTTCTGTAGGGTAGACTGGAGTTGCACGTCAAGACCATGTTGAAGTTTTGATGCAGCTGATTTTGTGAGAATTGTCTGGAAAATTTGAGTGGAACATTTCAGACAACTCTGACTCACTTAAGTTTAATAGTTACGCAGAAATAGTCGGAGAATTTAAATCCTACTGTAAATTCTGTACAATTATTAAACTGAATCCCCAACTCACCATGCAATACCTCCAACTGATTCCTGACACACCAAGCCCCCACAGCCAGCTTGGCCTTGCCTGACATAACAATCCCTGTTGAGCAACAACATCCCATCTCTAACTGATCTTCAGACTCTACTCCCCGATTCCAGTAGACCCAAGCTGTTCTTGCCCCCACCAAACTGAAACCCAACACGTCAATTCTGCCAGACCCAACCACCTACCCCAAACCCAGCACCTCGAGTCCCACCAGTCCCAACAACCCTCCTGACCAGCCTGGACTGCTCCCCTGAGCTGACATCTCTCCTCCACCGCCAACCTGACCTCTCCACTCTCAACAATACTTGTATAGTTTCAACACAACACCCTCTCCTGGACCTCACCTGTTGACCTACCAGGATCATTCATCCACTTACTTGAAACCCTACCCCTCTCACCGACTTGCACTCTAACCCCCATCCACCTTGCTACCAACACCTCCCCCCCACCTCCCCCTAGCCTTCTCATCCATCCTGCACCGCTTACCCACCTAGCATCTTATTCCATTCACCAGCTGTGACCCTTATCCCTCACCCAGTTAGCCCCTTACACCTTCAACATTCAGTAGCCTACCCCTCACCCATTTCCTCACCCAGCCACTCTACGACCCCACGCAACCTTCTTCATCCATTTGCCTCACTTTCCCCTTTATTACCTGTCATCTACACTTAAATACTGACAATTTCTCATGAACTGTCAAAGGTCATTTACTGTTTAAATTATTAAGTTTAAGCATAATCTTATGCTGTAAGATCATGGCGTGCTTACTACTGAAAGAGTAGAAAGAAGGGAGTAGTTTCCTGGCTGTGGACATTCCTGGATTGATTTCTATTGTTCTATAACCGGAAGTGCCTATCAAGGGAATTCAAAGGCAGAACTGGTTAAAATGTAAGAGTGTAATTTTTTTTGTCCAATAAGAGTTGGAAATCTGGACCATTTTGAGTACAATTTCGGGCAGCAGGTGCAAGGTTGTACAAGAACTGGTTAAGTGAATTTAAACGAATGTTGGTTACATTGCTATAAATGAGGCTATTCCATCATTCAGTACAATCATGGTCAAGCTTCTGCCTCAACTTGTATCACTTAATGTCCTGACAAAGATTTGTCTATCTTAAATGTAAATA